GTTGATTACAAATGAATAAATAAATCCTTAAATAAATGAAGATATAATATAAAAGACATGCTAAAAATATATTATAATTTTATTGATTTTGTTTTATTTCACAGGGACATTTATTTATTTGATGGAATATTCAGAAATACTTTATTTATTTGTTTCATTTTTAATGAAACGGCTCTCCATAAAGACCAGCTGAACCTAACGGTAATGTTGCTAATCCGTCAGCTACTGAAAAGGATACTGTGTGATAACGTTCATCAGCAGAAAGACCCACATTATGGGCAGGGTCAAGCCCATCACAGGAATATGAACAGGAGCTGCCAAAACAAGCAGAACAGCCAGAAATAAAATATTCCTCAATGACCCACGTTAATTATGGAAATTTATTATATTCAGGTGTGCTCACTGCTCTGGTTGAAGAGGATGCAGTGATTGTAGATATCTGTGGAGAGAAGCAGGAAGCCCGGCAGAGGTAGGCAGTGCTGAAAACACACAAACAGAGTGCTTTAACACAAACTGCACGAGCCGAACGAGAGATACGAAGAGTTTTCCTGGCAAATATCGGCTGTAAACTCTGCAGGAGAAACTCACATTATAGAAGAGAGCTTCTTTGGAGTGTTTGCCGTACTTCTTGTAGAGTGTCTCCTGGAAGATGCCCATCCTTGCCGACATCAGCAAAGCAAAGGTCAACATGGCGATGCCTGAATGAGCAGAAGTCCCGCCCCCAAATAAGGTCAGCCACACAGAAACACAACTCGCTGTTGGGAAACTTGAGTTTCGCTACTCACCTATTAGCCAGTGCACAAAAGCATGAAAGCCATCCTCTTCTCTTCCATCTTTGGACACCTCATGCTAAAACCACCCAGCAGAGCCACGCTCCATTATTAACGGGTTTTTAACAACAACCAGAACGCTGCAGCCCTGCAGATGACTCACCACTTGTTTGGCAGACATGACGGTGCAGATGAAGATGCCAGCAGACACTAGAGCTATGGAGAGATATTTGCTGGCCGAGTACCTGCGAGCAGAAAACACGAGATACAACCCATTTATAATCAGACACTTTGTTACAGGTCGCTGTGAGTTGACTGGGAAAAACAAACCTCTTTTTCAGAATGACTATCCCGAGGACCATGTTGGCGATCAGCGATCCCTGTGAAGAATTGAGGCAGCGGTTTCAACGACAGGAGGCAGGCCGAGGAGGAGGAAAAACAGCGAGAACACGACGGAAACACCTACCGCTCTGAAGATCATGTGTAACGGCATGGCGATGTTAAAGTTCAGGGCGTAGTTGTTGATCACGCTGACAGTGAAGAACATGGTGACCATGATCACATAGTTACTGGAAAGCAAAGAACAAACACTATGAGTTAACATCAGCTCCCATAATACCAGTGGAGGGAAGCAC